TTCAGAACTGGACCCGTAATCTTAATACACAAAGCACACTTGAAACAACAGCCACGTGTGACTTGAGTGATCCACTTGAGTTAATGAAGCCTTTAATCTACAGCACTGCCTGCAGAAGTGATCAGCTCTAACTGCTTAATGCAACCGCACTGGGGCTGGGAAGAACATTAGCAAAGCTCGGACTTTCTAGCCCCTGGTTTCAGTTACCAGCCTGTCACAGCAACAGCTACAACAGCAAAGGATAATAATACCATTGCAAAAATGCCCAAGTTCAGCCTTAAAAATATAAATTATGGCACACCACTATGCCCAGACTCTTGCTAGCATAAACTAGCACAAGCTGTAGTTCAGTAGGGCCAAAGCTTTTAGGCTCCTCCCAAAAGGTGTGACTCGCATAAACATTACTGAAATCCTGCTAAGCTTACCTGAGGCGATGCCTCCCCCTCCCCCTTATTTCATTGATTGCAGAGTTTAGAGATTTCTTCTATAATTCATTTATACAAGCTTGTTTTTTTATACAAGTGCCATATTTTCATAACTGTTGATGTGGTGTATAAATGTGCATGTTTATAAGCCTCCCGTGTAATAAAATCCCAGTTTATGAGGCATTTAAGTAATGGGAAAAAGTATAATGAAAGCAACAACGTTGGGTATAAACAAAGAACAATTAAAACATACTTCTACACTGTATGAGTTAGTTCTTAGATGGTTGCTAATGCTTTATTTCTTAATGCAGAAATAACATCCTCTATTCAAAAAGGAAAAAGTTGAAGTAGTTCAAGGGGTGATCTGGCTTTCTTGTTTTAGAAAGCAGTTTGGCGTTCTGTAATCATCTGGATCAGTAGGGTTTGGCCCTTCTTCAGAAGCTCCAATGTATGAATACCCACCCAATTTTCCATCCCTATTCAATATTTTGCTGGTGAATACCTTTCCAGGGCATACGTTGCTTTTCTGGGGGCATCCAGTTTTTGTAAGTGACCTTCATGCTCCTCCACAGTGACACCCTGCTTCCACCCAGGGGGTGACAGGGGCTGCCCCCAGCAGGCCACCTTGCAGGGGGAAGGCAACAAGGGCTTGGCTTGCTTGATGAAGCCAAAACAATGTATTCTTCCCCAATCCAGCTACATCCATTTAAAGATGCAAGTATGTCAGAGAACAAAAGGGAAAGGATGGGGATTGTTAACAAATGGCTTCCAGGCAAAATCTGTCCCAAACAGGGTTGTGCTAGGCCATGTAAGTCAGTACAGACAGGATGTTGTATGGATGATTGTAGGGATGAAGCCCACAATTCATCTGGCCCAAAAGGAAAGCAATATCATCTATACACTGCCCTCAGAAGAGACCTATTTCAGCCTCTAGATGTCTTTATTTTTCCCATGCCCAGATTTCTTCAAGGTGATGTGTGAAGCTCTATGCTTAGTTTAGCCCTAACTTTATTTATGGGGAAAATAGGGTCCCTCTGAGCATTGCTGGAATGACTGCACATCTCCAGGCTTGTCTGCTCTGCACTTGCAGCCCCTGCAATGTCACGATGTCTGCTGGGCAGAGAGGTCTTTAGGGCAAGGCAGTGTCCTACAGCCCCACGCTCCAGTGCTGAAACCTGCTTACCTACTACTGGGGAAAAAACAAAAACAAAAAAAAACAGCAACAACAACAGGAGAAAAATTACTAACAAGGCAGTCTCAGGGAGGACTTTTATTAAGATGAGACCAATGACAACTGAATACGAAGAGAATTAAACCTCACATATCCGTGAAGGAAACATGTTGCTTATTAGTACTGCTCTCCAACCCCAGGCTCTTACCCTAACCACCTTTATGCAGAAATTGTAGCTCTTAATCAGAGCAATATCAGGAATAACAATTCTTAAGCAGGATGCTCCTGCTTGCCTAGCAGAATAAGCAGCAAAAACTTCCCTCCAAGGTGACTTTCAACCGGAGCAAGCATTGCTCACCAGCTGGAGCAGGACGGGCAGACAAATGCATCTTTGCTGCCACAGCCCAGTTCCGTCCAGGTCTGGACTCCAGCATCAGCAGGACCCCAAAGTGTTACCCCCGCCGAGTACCTGGCAAAATACATTAAAAGGAATTTTAGCACCAGGCTCATTTATCCATGGGCACTCTCTTCCCTTATCACATCTGCATCGTGCAGCACCAGAGAACAGCTCAGCTAGCTCTGCACCGCGCTGCAGTCTCCCCGTGTGCATGGGGCGGACATGCCAAGCCCCCAGGGCATGATGCACACCTGGCAGCTGGCACTAACGAGCAGTCCTACCCGTGCTACCTCCCTGGCTTCCTCTCCACCGTTTGTTCCTCCTTGCGTGGTTTCTTCCAGCTATCAACTGTGCAGCAGCTCTGGAGCTCAGTGTTTTAAGTAACCTGTCACGTTTCCTACAGGAGTGTCTTAGTGGGGGTGACACAGGAGATCAGGTTGTGCCTAAGTAGCGCGGGCCATCTGCTGCAGTTATAAACAAAGGCCATGGCTTTGAAAACTGGAAACAAAATAGTGCCACTCTCAGCTGTGTTCTTCTAGCGTCTTCCCTGTCGAGGCTGATGCTGCAGGACACTAGGAGAGAACATGCATTGTAGACAAATCAATTCAGCTGGCTAACTTATTATGCCTCAGGTGCTGCACCCACAGACTGTGCCCCCATCACGTGCCACAGCAGAGATAGCCACGCTGGCCCCCAACACCTCATCTATCTATGCAGCAAAAGGCAGTGTGGTACGGAGATAAGCCCTGGGCCCCAGGGGTAGCACCTAGCTGCGGACAGACTGATCACCCACTGCTGTTCCCTTCAGTAAGTGACCTGCCGGAGGGAGCCCACCGGCTTTGCAGCCACACCGCTTCTCAACCCAAGCATGCTCCCAGGCACTGTGCGGTGCTGCACAACGCCGCCCTGGCCTGGCCTGGGTGGGCTATAACACAGCCGATGGCACAACAGCACCACGCGCTCCTTCGAGAGAAGAGCAACATGAAAAACAGCTAAAGGTGACGCGCAAAGAACAGCTCCTTGACAGACTGAAGGCTGGCAGCTCTTTTTTTGTGATCTCTCCGGAGGATCAGACTAGCATTTGCCAAAGCCCTCCCCTTCCACCTCTACAGCTGTGGTAAACAGCTGCAGCTCTGGTCACAGCTCCCAGTGTCATCATGCCTCCAGCAATCCGCAGCTTCACGCCTGCGTTAGTTGCCTTTGGTGAAGCAAAGAGTTGGCATGTCAGGGACAGAGCCAGAGCAGAACTGTGTGTTGCTGCATGTCAGAAGAGCAAGTAAAGAAAGCAGCTTTTTCATCTGCCATTGCAAGTTACGTTCCTGAAGTGTAGTTCCTGTTGTAATTCCTGAATTTCTGAATTCCCAGCACATACCCATGCTTTAATCATTTGCCCTTCTCAAAGCCTAGGTGAAATATATGCTCCAGGACCACCCCGAATAACAAGCCTTAAAAGCCAAGTGCTGTCACCTTTGAATTATGAAACAAACTGTGCCAGTTTTTAGCCATTCCAGTATTGTCCCAGGGCAGCATTTCATTTCCGAGGTACAAGTAAGTACACAGTTCACTGTAACCAAAAGCATTACTTAGATTAATTTAGCTTATGGCACAGAAGCACAAAGATACCAAGCCTCTTCAGTTATTTTTGAAAAGCATGAGGAAAAAATAAAAAGTAGTTTGGCCTTACAATGGTGTAATGTACAAGCTACTTCCCTCTGTCTCTAAAGATAACAATCACCCCCAGGCTGCTGATGAACTTACCAGGTACATGTTAACGAAAATTCATCTGAAGTATCAGACAATACAAGCTGCTGTGCAGGGCTGGCAAAGAAATTTGAAAGTTTTGAACCTTGGCTTTGTGAGTTAGGGAGAGGGGAAAAATGGGATTTCTACCTGTGAGAGAAAACACAGCGGAGTCACTGTGATCTGTGCAAGCCATTAACCAAAATACAACAAAACAGGATGACAGCAGGTCCTCAGGGACCCAGAACACTGCCAGTAGGTGTTCAGCGCTGCAGTGAAAGCACCAGGCAACTTTCCTACCAGCAGACAGCTATTCTTACAGCACACAGTGGGCTGCTGGCGTACCCAGCCAAATCCCTCGCTTTCTAGAAACAGGAACATGCGAAGCAGCGTGTCTAACAGCACAGCTTATCTGCTGTTCGGGTTGAAAGCATTCTGTCTACCTCCAGCACAGAAGCATCTCCCCTTCACCTGCAGGGCCAGGACCTGGTACTGCCAGTGCAGCATGGCACGAGCCGCAGCTCCCTCAGCTTTTGCTCCGTCGCGTCACCTATTCACGTCCTCTGCCAAAGGACAGCGCTGAGTTGCTGCCTTATTGCCGGTTGCGTTAATTAAGCTTCATGACTCCCCCATGAGACAGGCAGGTGACACCATCCCCATCTCACAGCCGCTGGATGGTGGAAGTGGCTCACCAGGGAGAGCAGGTGTCGGCGGGAGCTCCATCACCCCGCGGGAAGGGCTGCGGGACGCGGTGGCCTCCAGAAGCAGGGACGGGCACCAGAAGGCTGCTTCCAGCCCAGGTCCCTGTCCCTCGGCACAGACCTGAGCAACACAAACCAACTAGTCACAGAGAGCCACCCTCACAGCGGCCAGCAGCAGCGTTGGCCTGAGCTGTCACCTGAACAGCTGAGCGCTCTGCGGGTCATAACCGTGTGTGAGGGCCGGAGGGAGCGCAGCACGGCGGCCACCAAGGCGATGCTGAGCGAGGAGGCGGCGGAGCAGCAGGCAGGAGGGAGCCGGAGGCAGCGGCGGCTCCGCGGGGCCCCAGCACCCCACGAGTGGGGCAGGCGGCCGAGCGCGGGGGTGTCACGGCGGACCCGAGCAGCACCCCGCTAAGCAGACGCGCTGCACACGAAGCAGATATCCTTTTTTTTTTTTTTTCCCCTCCCAACGACAACAACAACAAAATGGGAGCCGAAGGCGAGCCGAAAAGCCGCCCGGGGCGGGAAGGAGGCGCACCTCTGGAGACACAGCTGCCGGCGGGGCGGGCCGGGGGCGAAACATGGCGGCGGGGGGCGCGATCCCGCCGGCGGCCGGCAGCCCCCTGAGGGGCACGGCACGGAGCCCACGGCACGGATCCCACGGCACGGAGCCCCCGCCTCGGCAGCCGGTAAGAGCGGGGAGGGCGCGGGTGCGGGTCCCGCCGCGCACTCACCACAGTGACGGGGGACACCATGTCGGCGGCGGGGCGCGTCCTGCTGCCGGTGCTGCTGCTGCTGCTGCCGGTGCCGGTGCCGGTGCCGGTCCCGCCGCGCTGCCCTGCCGCCCGTCCTGCCTGCCGGGCTGCTTTTTTAGGCAGGGCTGACGTCAGCGGAGGGGGGGCCCCGCGGACAAGGCTGGGGGCGGCCCCGGCCCGGCCCCCGCGAGGGCGGGCGGGGGCGGGCAGCCCCCTCCGGGCCCCCCCTTCGGCCCCGGGGCAGGCCCCAGCCCCGTGCCGGAGCCGCCCCCCGCCGTTCCCCCTGCTTCTCCCTTTGCCCTCACCTTGCCCGCGGGGCTGCCCGGCCCCATCCCGCACCCAGCGATCCTCGGTGGCCCCCACGACCCCCGGCCCAGCTCCCCGGGAGGCTGCCGGCCCCCTGCCCTGAGCAACGCTGCCGAGCGGGAGGCAGCGGCTCGGGCTGCTTGGGGTGACCCCGGAGCTGCTTTCGGTCTATTTTTACTTGAGGATTAATATTTAAGGATGCAGGAAGCTGGTTTTCGTGTAATATGATCTTGTTCAAAAGTTTCGCCTCATAACAAAACAAACAGGTACTTAAATAGTAGACGATTGAGTAATCTGCTATTTGCAGCCCGAGCAGAAGTCATGCTCGGTATTTATCACATCGAGGGAACATTTTCTTCCATAAAGTGGAAAAAAAAAAATATCTATGCGATTCTTTTGCAGCCTTTGTGCAATAAATCGGTATCGTGTTTCCGAGGACAAAATGTTTGCAAGCAGCAGTCCCAAGATCCCAGCCCGGCAGCGCGATTGCTCCCAATGTAAGTAGCGAGAGGGCAGCCTTTGGGCCCCCACCACCCGATGGGGCTGGGATGGACTCTGCTGCCTGTGTGTCGTTTGCCAGTCTGAGGGAATTCTACCCCAAAACCATACTGCAGATCTGCACCGTCAGGTCAGAGGAGTGTCACAGCGAAATCTGTGGCAAGCAAACCTCAATCAGGTCAAAGGATGTGGTTCTCGATGCAGCATGGCCACGGCCAGGGGATTGAGAGCCGGACTTACAATTTCAATTAAAATAGTTCATAGGGCAGTAGCATTTTCATTAGGCAAGAAGAGAAGGATAAGCTGTTCCTTTTCCAGGGAGCTAGAGGAATTAGAGGACTGAAAGAAATTTCACAGCTTTTCATTGATGAAGGCTTTGCCCTGCTGAAATCAAGGGGGGCAGTCCCTTGTAGGAGCAGCACAAGGCACCGGAGGTATTTAGATGTCAAAGGGTACCATGGGTTTGATACCGTATGGGATTTTCAGAGGGCCTATGGACTCTCAGAACTAGGGTTCCTAATTGCTTTCAAAAATCCTCCTGTGAGCTTGATTATGTCTTGGCATGTAAATATCTCCAAAAAAAAAAAAAAATCTGTTCCTTGGTCCCTAGCCAAACTCTTCATCTGCTTATCTTGGCCTTTTTTTAAGCGATGAGCCAGGCAGTGCAGTTGGTAGGGGCATGTTTGTATTTGGGTATCATCTATGGTGCTCCAAAACTAGGAAGAGGTGATTGGGATGGATGCAGCTTTGCATTCATCCATTTGTTCTGATGTCTTCACTGGTTACCAGCTGAAGCTTTGCCCGGTCTCACAAATCACATATTTCTCTGTGTCATGATGCAAATGTTCAAAATATGTTAACGTTTAGATGTGGTTTTCCGCATGATGTTTAGCTTAAGGAAACCTACCTGGAAATGAAGGGGAAACCATGTATACATCCTGACTTCCCTGTCTCAAACAGTTACTGGGAAAATCACTCTCATTAGTTTTGCCTAGGGGAGTTTGACCATTTGTGATTTCCTGAAAGTTATTTCTCATAAACCTTTCAAATATAGAGATTCAGAAGTCCTAACAGCAGGTTTGGCATTTGTATGGAGTGAAGAGGTGACCCTCATGTCAAAGATTTTGCAACCTGTATATAAGGTGAATTTTTGTTGTTGTTTATCTAATACTGGATTGATTTCATGTCATTCACAAGATTATTCATTTTGTTGTCCTTTTTTTCACTATCAAATTCAGTGCTGCATCAAAGATAAGTGATTCCTTCTAAGTTAGGGACATCCTGGAGTATTAATGAGGAATTTGGACATAACAGCAATATCTTACCTTTTATCTAAATGCAATGTCTTAGAACAGGACTTGACACAAATCCTTTTCCACTCTAGAAACAGCACTCCAAGCAACAGATGAAGGAAGCAAAAGGAATAGATGGTCAGTGGCTTTGTAAAACTGTAAAATTTGTCTTGTTCTGTGCGTGCCATTCTTTTTTTTTTTTTTTTTTTTTTTCCTTTACTGGTGTTGCTTCAGTAACCATATTCCTCCTTTTCAGTCTCCTGTCCTGATCAATACAGGTGAGGGAGATCTCATGGGGCTCACCGCACCGTTTTGTTCTCAATCAACTGCAGGGATTTAAAACAACAAGGAAAATAGTTCCAATTTTGTGGAGGTGGTATTTTTAACTCGCTATCAGTAGGCAAACAGAGAACAGTAATCACACGAGCATAAATGTATGGGGGTTGGGTATAGCAAAACAGCACATTAAATATTTCTTTGCACGTTCCTGAAGATGCTGTTGCTGGGCCATGTCTGTGGTCTGTGGGGAAAAAAAGCAAGCAAGAAAAGTCCCATCTCCAGCAAGGCTGCTATGCAGACATTAATTTTTCTGAAGGATCCCATGGTGTTGAAGCTACTGCACGTAGCCCCATGGCTCTGTGTGCATGCAGTGGCTCCATGGCTCCTACAGGTGTGTTATTTCTTTATAAAAACAACAGCCATATGTTTCTGTGATAGCTTGACCTTTTTTCTACCCTTCTCTGTGTTATTATTGCACCAGTTTATTCTCCCGTTGGAGAACTGTGGGCCCCAACATCCCTGCCCTGAAATCCATCAGTGAAATCCTTTTAGCCAGGTCCCTGAAGCCCCATGCGTCAGGGAGGCTCAGGACTCCACTTCGTCAGACACAGTCCAGACATGTCCAAAAAAAGACAAGCGCTTCTGAAATGCAATTAGCCTTGCAGTGTGTGGGTCTGTGGATATTTGTACATGAAATGTAGTATATGGATTTTTATGGGAGGCTGTTGGGGCCAGAGAGCATGAATCCCAAAGGTTTGCAGGACAGCCCTATGCCTGTATGTTTTCTAGCTGCTTGTTCTTCAGGGAGGTGGTCCTACATCCAGCAACTGGCTGGAGCAGGAGCAAAATACATCTCATGCTCAGGTGTCTCTGAAAAGGGGAGTGCAACCTGCCCTCGCTCTGCTGGCATGGGCTCTGCCAGTGGGCTGTTGGGGCACACGCTTTGTTTTGTGCTTTTTTATTAATGCTAGACCTAAATAATAACAGTGAACTCAGATTTACTCTTATTAAGAAAGTGCCTGGGAATTAAACTGCTGAGGAACCACATGAGATGAACATGAGTCTCTGCTGGCTGCTCCAAGCAGAGTGCTTCCAGATCCGGTGGCTGTATCCAGCCTGGCTTTCTGTTCTGACACATCCAGCTCCATGTAGCTCCGTTGTGGTTTGTATGCTGGTCACTGCACCAGTTCCTGATCCTTTTCATGTCAAGTAATCTGATGTTTCTCCCTGCACATGAGGATATATTGGGCTGTTTCCTTTCTGTACAGATTTATCTCCTGAAGGCTAGAGAAATTCAGAAAGTTGCCTTTGCTTCCCTCATGGGCAATTCCCATAATGATGATAAAAGTATTAAATTTAGACTTCAGAATTAATGTCTGAGTGAAATAGAGTGGGGGGGGCACTGCAAATTCATGCCTCCTGAGAGCACTTTTTCAGGCTGTTTACTGAGCCAGAAAAGCAACACATCATCTATTTATAGGCTTTGTATCTGAAAGTTTTCTTCCCAGACATAAAATCAATTTGCTGCCGGGGCTTAATAAATGCTGCGTGTACATGTGTGTGTATGTGTTTATGGAAGAGGCAGTCTTTCTAGAGATGAGCATGGGTATAGCTAAGCAGGATCCAGAGCACGGGTCCCTTATGGGACTGTACTTGTTTGTGATCAGTTTATGTTCTAATGCCCATCAAAACAAACACATTAAAATCTGATCAAGAAGATCAATAGGGAAGGAAATGTATCATCCGTTCTTCTAAAATTCTCTGTTCTACAGCATGAAGGTAAATCGCAGAATCTGCATTCGTACAGTTTGTATCCCTGCGGTGTCCTTTAAAGCTATTTCAGACACATAACCATCTCTTCTGAGATTGACAAGAGTGACTTAGAAGCTCTTAATCAAACTAAAAAATCCATAACAACCTACCTCAAATACTAATTCTGATTCAGTTACAATTTCTGTTCCTCACTCAGGTGCCCAATTTCCCAGTACAGAAATCCACCCAAAAAAAGCTGTGATTTATCTAGTGATCAATTCACCAGTGATTTAGCGATATAATTCTCCACAAGCAGGAGGTGCTAACAGCTGCCGTGTTGCAATATGCACAAAAAGCAGTGAAGGCTCGTCTTGGGAAACATCGTTAGATGATTTGTAGGAAAAAACATGGCGCAATTAAATGGTGAGATTACAAAACAGCACATAGGTAGAGAAAATGCTTTAATGTCTATTTTTACTTAAGCAATCTAGCTGAGCATCTGGAAGAAAAATTGTACCTGTGATGAGGGAGAAGCATGCTGAGATGATGCCGGCTCATCCCAAAGCTAGGCACTGGCAGCAGGCAGACAAGGCTGCCTTTCGGCAGCATTTAGGTCTTGGTGGGCTCACACCCGTCGTGAATTCCCCAAGTCGCATGGGATGAGGGTCAGCAGGAGCTGCCAGGGAAGATTTGTGTGGTGGGCATAACAGCGGAAGTAAGGTGGCATCTGAAAGTGGCAGGTGACTTAGGGTGGGTGGTCTGAGAGACCTTAGATACCTATTTTTCAGAGAGCGTTTTCAGAAATTTTGCCCTCTTCTCTGATGTTTTCCAATGCTCTGACATGATTTGAAGTATCCAAAGTCACTGATGACCGCAAAGTCTTGTCTGTGGGCAACAGGCATTTTATAAATTCCTCTAAAATCAGTCTGAGTCACTAATGAGTTCAGATGCAGTTTGTTACCACTAAGTTTATTTAAATCCAATCACTGTTACATTTCCCAGAGAAAAACACTGTCAGCACCGCCAGCAAGCAATACAGTGATTTTGTATCAGCAAAACTGCCATTGATTTTAGCAGCTATTTATTGCATATGTTCCCACCAACCACTTTCTAATGGAATTTTAACAATTCAGTAGGGTCACTTGAAGGTCTTGAGGAAGCAAGGGAAAAAATCATCCCTTGTAGGAAATGCTCCTCTCCAGCAGTGCCTCCAGTCACGATCACCAGTCAGATGGGAGCTCTTCATCTTTTTCATATAACTACTTCTGGTGAATCCTGGTCGTTAATTTTCAAGGCATATTTGTTCTTTTTTTTTGATTAAGTTCACCCTGCCAATATATATACAGTTTCATCTCTGTCTTATTAAGTCCCTGAGCTGCAGGTTGCTGGAGATTGGGAATATACAAAGCAAGTATGTCTAGACTCAGTGTGTTAGCAACTCTCTAGCAGTTGGCTGCTGTCAGCCTCAGGACAGATGAGGCTTGGTCTGGTGCAGTAGATCTTACCTTAAATTAAAAGCACTGTTGTAAGAACCGGTCTAAATACGCCTCTCTTTCTGCTTCCTGTCCTGTAAAAAATGGCCTTTTTCATTTGAGTTAAAATCTTGCACCAGAAGAAATTTTTTGTTTGTTTGGGTGTCCTGTTCCCAATGGTTTCATCTCGCTCCATTTTCTTGT